AATTGTCCCATAGTGCCCAGGGATGTGCAGGTTAGGGTGGATTGGCCAAAGGGAAGAGGGTGGGTCTGTGTGGGATGCTCTCCAGAGGATTGATGTGGGCTGAATGGCCTGCTTCCACACTGTATGGAGTTCGAAGGAAAATAATGTGTCCTGCATGGAAAACTGAGATATCTCCAGAACAAAATTCAATAAGATCAAGGCTGATCATTTATTGTCAACTTCCTTGCCCACGCACCAATAACCCTTAATTCCTTTCCTGCTCAAAAATCAATCCATCTTTGCCTTAAATTCGATGAGGCACCCTCACTGGGCAGGGAATTCCACAGATTCACAACCCTTTGGGTGAAGAAGTTCCTCCTCAGCTCAGTCCTAAATCTGCTCCCCTTTATACTGAGGCTATGTCCCCCTCATTCGAGTTTCACCCGCCAGTGGGAATGACCTCCCTGCTTCTATCTTGTCTATTCCCTTCGTAATTTTATATGTTTCTATAAGATCATTCTAAATTCCAATGAGTACAGCCCCAGTCTACTCAATCTCTCCTCAAAAGCCAACCCTCTCAACTCTGGAACCAACCTAGTGAACCTCCCTCTGCACCCTCCTCCAGTGCCAGTCCATCCTTTCTCAAGGGGAATGTTGTAATAATTGTAATGGGCTCAGCCAGTTGGCCCTCATAGGATATGAGTTCCCTGATTGGGTCTGTTATAGAGCCATAAAATAATAGAGCCATAGAGGTTTATAGTGTGGAAACAGGCCCTTTGGCCCAACTTGGCCATGCTGCCCAGTTTTCACAACTAAATTAGACCTATTTGCCTGCGTTTGGTCCATATCCCTCCATGCCTATTGCATCCATTTACCTGTCCAAATGTTTCCTAAATGATAAAATTGTACTCACCTCCACCGCTATCTCTGGCAGCCCATTCCAGACACTCACCACCCTCTGTGTGAAAAAATTGCCCCTCTGGACCCTTTTGTATCTCTTCCCCTTTCACCTTAAACCTATGCCCTCTAGTTGTAGATTCCCCTACCCTGGGGAAAAGCTGTTGGCTGTCTACATTATCTGTGCCTCTCATGACTTTACAGACCTCTATCAGGTCACCCGCTCAGTCTCCTACGCTCCAGGGGGAAAAAGTTCCAGCCTATCCTTACAATTCAAGTTGTAAAGTAGTCCAGTCCAGGTAGCATCCTAGTAAATCTTTTCTGCACTCTTTCTAATTTAATTATATCCTGTCTATGCTAGAGTGATCAGAACTGCACACAGTACTCTAAATGTCGCCTTACCAATGTCTTGTGCAGCTGCAACAAGATATCCCAACTCCTGTGCTCAATGCTCTGACCGATGAAGGCAAGCATGTCAAAAGCCTTCTACCTGTCACTCCACTTTCAAGGAGCGACGAACCTGTACCCTTAAATTTCTTTGTTCTATAACACTCTCCAGGGCCCTACGATTGACTGTATAAGTCCTGTCCTGGTTTGACCAACCCAAATGCAACACCTCGCATCTATCTAAATTAAACTGTTAATCTGGTCCAATCAGGGAGTCCTGGCTGACAGATATAGAACATAGAACACAGAACAGTACAGGCCCTTCGGCCCACGATGTTGTGCAGACCTATTATCCCACTAAGATCAAACTGCCCTGCATACCCTACATTTTACTATCCTCCATGTGCCTATCCAAGAGCCGCTTAAAAGTCTCTAGAGTGTCTGACTCCACTACCACTGCTGGCAGTGTATTCCACATGCCCACCACTCTCTGTGTAAAGATCCTACCTCTGACATCTCCCCAACACCTTCCTCCGATCACCTTAAAGATATAAACAGGAGTGTCAGGGTCTTTGTTCACTCTGAGAGCTGGCTCTGAGGGAGCTGGGTCAGTGTGAGAGCAGTGTGAGGATCAGACTGAGAAAAAATGAGGAATGAGGAATGAGGAATGTGGAATGTGGAATGTAGGATGATTTCAGAATTGAGGTGCCAGAGAGACAGCGTGGATCAGCGAGTACCGGGACGATAAAGTGAAACAGATTTGGCATGGGTAGTACGGTGGCTCAGTGGTTAGCACTGCTGCCTCACAGCACCAGGGACCCGGGTTCGATCCCACCCTTGGGCAACTGTCCGTGTGGGTTTCCTCCTAAGGTCCAAAATGCAAAGGTTGGGTTGGATTGGCTGTGGGAAATTGTCCAGGGATGTGCAGGTTAGGGTGGATTGGCCGTGCTAAATTGTCCCATAGTGCCCAGGGATGTGCAGGTTAAGGTGGGTCAGCCAAGGGAAATGTAGGGATGGGGTTGGATCTGTGTGGGATACTCTTCAGAGTGTCGGTGTGGTACCGGATGGGCCGAATGGCCTGCTTCCACGTTGTAGGGATTCTATGAAGTTAAGACATGGCCAGCAGTGTTTTGGATGACATCAGTTTATGTACAATACAATATGGCGACCATGCTGCAGCAAGGTTAAAATAGTCAACTATAACGATAACACAGGCATAACTAAAGGCTTCACTGGCAGATGGTTAAAAGCCTTGCGTGTTAAAATTCAACCTCAAAATGTAAGCTGAGCTAAAAATGCAATTCATTTGCTTTGAAGTTAAAATCCACAATTTTGTTTTTAAGACTGCTCACGTACAGAATTGTTTGTGTCTCTCAACACAATAGGGTTTGTACTAAAACATTCTCCTGAAAGCACAGTGTGTGATGGGGCAGGATCTGAACCAGGAAGGTCCTGGTTTTCACCTTCATCCTGTGCTACATGATCCAATCTCCTCTGGGTCATTAGTAATAGTGTGCAATGATAACGAATCTTCATTTCCTCTAGTTGGAAAGAGAAAGGAATTTTATCGGCACACTTGGCACTACCAGAATCACAGAGCTGTACAGCACAGAAACAGACCCCTCGGTCCAACCTGTCCATGCTGACCTGATATCCTAAATTAATCCAGTCCCATTTGCCTACATTTGGCCCATATCCCTCTAAACCCTTCCTATTCATATACCCTTCCAGATGCCTTTTAAATGTTGTAATTGTACCAGCCTCCACCACTTCCTCTGGCAGCTCATTTTATACACGTGCCACCCTCTGTGTGAAAAAATTGCCCCTTAGGTCCCTTTTAAATCTTTCCCCTCTCACTTTAAACCTATGCCCTTCTAGTTTTGGGCTCCCCTACACCAGGGAAAAAGACCTTGGCTATTCACCCTGAGCAAGCCCCTCATGATTTTATAAACCTCTACAAGGTCACCCCTCAGCCCCTGATGCTCCAGGGAAACTAGCCCCAGCTTATTCAACCTCACTTGGTCTGGGCCTACATGTGACTCCACACCCACAGCAATGTGGTTGACTCTTAACTGCCCCTCTGGGCAATTAGGGATGGGGCAGTAAATGCTGCCTGGCCAGTAACAACGTTGAATGAATAAAAGAAATTGTCCAGTAGGGCCCTGGGGAGTGTTGCTGAACAGAGAGACGTTGAGATGCAGGTTCATAGTTCTTTGAAAATGACGTTGCAGGTAGACAGGGCGGTGAAGAAGGCGTTTGGTACACTGGCCTTTATTGGTCAGTGCCTTGAGTATAGGAGTTGGGAGGGTCATGTTGCAGCTGTACAGGACATTGGTGAGGCCACTTTTGGAATACTGCCTTCAATTCTGGTCTCCCCGCTATAGGAAGGATGCTGTTAAACTTGAAAGGGTTCAGAAAGGATTAACAAGGATGTTACCGGGTTGGAGGGTTTGAGCTATAGGGAGAGACTGAATAGGCTGGGGCTATTTTCCCTGGAGCGTCGGAGGCTGAGGGGTGACCTTGTAGAAGTTTATAAAATCATGAGGGGCATGGATAGGATGAATAGCCAAGGTCTTTTCCCCCAGGGTAGGGGAGTCCAAAACTAGAGAGGCATAGGTTTAAGGTGAGAGGGGAAAGATTTAAAAGGGACCTGAGGGGCAACTTTTTCACACAGAGGGTGGTGCATGTATGGAACGAGCTGCCAGAGGAAGTGGTGGAGGCTGGTACAATGACAACATTTTAAAGACATCTGGATGGGTATGTGAATAGGAAGGGTTTAGAGGGATATGGGCCAAATGTAGGCAAATGGGACTGGATTAATTTAGGATAACAGGTCAGCATGGACAGGTTGGACCGAAGGGTCTGTTTCCGTGCTGTACATCTCTATGACTCTATGATAATACCACCAGACCCATCACCTCCCCTCCATAGTTCACTAGAAAGATGACTCTTGTTTGATTCACATCTCAAGATCCATTGCCCCAGGTCACAGGTGTAGAATTGGTGATTTGGGCTATGATTATGAGGGTTTATGAACGTGTATGAACTGAAGAACGAGGTGAGATGAAGAAGAGAACAATTATCTTTAATGTAAACACAAAATTAAAAAGAGGGATCGCAGAACCTATTCCTTCCAGTTGTGCATCAGAATAAGCATTTTCATGAGCTTCAATGAATCTGTTGATTAAATGTGGGGTGACACGGTGTCTCAGTGGTTAGCGCTGCTGCCTCACAGCCCCACGGACCCGGGTTCAATCCCACCCTCGGGCGACTGTCTGTGTGGAGTTTGCATGTTCTCCCCGTGTCTGTGTGGGATTCCTCCAGGTGCCCTGATTTCCTCCCACAGTCCACAGATGTGCAGGTTAGGGTGGATTGGCCGTGCTAAATTACCCATAGTGTCCAGGGATGTGCAGGTTAGGGTGGATTGGCCGTGCTAAATTGCCCCATAGTGCCCAGGGATGTGCAGGTTAGGGTGGATTGGCCGTGCTAAATTGTCCCGTAGTGTGCAGGGATGTGCAGGTTAGGGTGGATTGGCCGTGCTAAATTGCCCCATAGTGCCCAGGGATGTGCGGGTTAGGGTGGATTGGCCGTGCTAAATTGCCCCATAGTGCCCAGGGATGTGCAGGTTAGGGTGGATTGGCCGTGCTAAATTGCCCCATAGTGCCCAGGGATGTGCAGGTTAGGGTGGATTGGCCGTGCTAAATTGTCCCGTAGTGTGCAGGCTACTTGGATTATCCATGGGAAATGCAGGGTTACAGCGATGGGATGGGGGTCTGGGTGCGATACCCTTCGCAGGGTTGGTGTGGACTCGATGGGCCAAACAGACTGCTTCCAGGCTGTAGGGATTCTGTGAATAAACAGAATAAAACACCAAGCTGGCCCATTCTGAAACTTCAGAATATCAGTCTCGGGTAACACTCCTCAACGCTGACCATCTGATATTCTGATGGCCCCCAGAGGAAACTTTGGGGTAAGATCATTGATCAAAGTTTGATCCTATCACACTGAGCTATTTTGTCAGGTCTGCATTTCGATAAAAGCAGAGTTGGCCTACAGTACAGTACAGTGATTCAACTGTTGAACTCTGCAGAACATAAATGTCACGAAAGATCTCTTTGCAATTAAATTGAAAGTTAAACTCTAAAGGGAGAAGTTACCTATTGGATGTCTTGTGCAGTTAGAGTGGATATTGGACCCTTTCTGGTGACCTCGTTGGCATCAGTAAAATCAGACAGGCTAAAGATTATATACTTTAGTTCCTTCTAAATGCGGGTCAGCTTGTTTCTGATTCATTAAACCGTAAGAAACATGAACAGGAGGAGGCCATTCAGCCCCTCGAGCCTGCTCCACCATTCAACAGGATCCGACATTCCTCATTGTCCATTTCCCTGTGACTCTTGATTCCCTAACTGGTCAAGGATCTATCTGTCTCAGCCTTAAATATACACAAGGGCTCTAGACCCACAATTCTATGTGCAAGAAGTTCCATGAGAGAAGAAATTGCTCTTCATCTCAGTCTTAAATTGGTGCCCCTTTATTCAGAGACTGTGCCCTCTGGTCCCAGACCCTCCCATGAGGGGGAAACATCCTCCTCAGCATTGACCCTGTCAAGCCCCTTAAGAATCCTGTATGTCTCAATGAGATCCCCTCTCATTCTTCCAAACTCCAGTGAATCAGCAATGAATCAACTTAGACCTGTCTATTTTATGCCAGAATTGTAGACATCAGGGGGAAGGCGATGGCCTAGTGGTATTATCGCTGGACTGTTAATCCAGAGACCCAGATAATGTCCCGGGAACCCGGGTTCGAATCCCACCACGGCAGATGGTGGAATTCAATGAAATATCTGGAATTAAGAATCTATGATGACTGTGAATCCATCGTCGGAAAAACCCATCTGGTTCACTAATGTCCTTTAGGGAAGGAAACTGCCATCCTTACCTGGGTCTGGGCCTACATGTGACTCCAATGTGGTTGACTCTAAACTGCCCTCTGGGCAATTAGGTGCAATAAATGCTGCCTGGCCAGCGATGCCCTCATCCCGTGAATGAATAACAAGAAAGGGAAATCAACTGAATATTGAATCAAGTCTACCAGGGATTCTCTAATAACCTGCATTCCAATCAATGCTCAGAGATGAAGATTGCTACCTTAGGAGGCTTTTGTCACATTTAAACACCGCTGTGTAAGTAAAATTAACTTCAGGAAGGTTTTGGAGAAGGGAGGCAATGAGAGGGGAGTGTCGTTGAGTGATGACACTAGCCCCTTTCTTGTTATTGTGATGCCATTCAATTACCAATTAAAGTGCTATGCCGTCCACTTGTGTTATCAGGAGATTTATTCACTGTGGAGATAATAATCCTTAGGTATGTGTGGTCCTCCTCACAAGGTGGTTCCCCGAGTCCGCTCGCTGGCTAATTCTGAACGACAAGGCTGATGTAGCTCTGAAACAGCTCAGGAGGGTGGCCAAAATGAATGGCAAGGAGGATGAAGCGAAAAAGCTCACCGTCGAAGTAAGTGATGATGTTACTTACAACGTTTCACGCGGAGTTGGAAAACCCACTGCTCCTCGCAATTCTGACTCGTGCAGAGGAGCAAGAGGGGTGGCAGGGCGCAGAGGAGCAGTGGTTCTGGCTGATAGCTAAGAATTAACACGCGGACTCCTGAGCTCAGGAAGCTGAGCACTAGGGACTTGGCGCAGGCTGGTTAGTGATAAAGAGTGAAGCAAGCTCCAGAGGGAGAGTGAGAGCAAAACAGAGAAAAACACAACCATTTCCCACCATGACAAGAAGATATCCAGAGAAGTGGAAAAGCTATCCAAAGTGCTTCCACAATCATAGAATCCTTACAGTGCGGAAGTAAGCCATTTGGCACATCGGGTCCATACTGACCCTCCAACAGGCATCACAGCCCAGACCTGTCCCCCTACCCTATCCCGTCATTTCCCATGGCCAATCCACCCCTAACCTGCACATCCCTGGGCACTATGGGACAATTTAGCATGGCCAATCCACCCTAACCTGCACATCTTTGGACTTTGGGAGGAAACCGGAGCAACCGGAGGAAACCCACGCAGACACGGGGAGAATGTGCAGACTCCACACAGACAGTCGCCCGAGGGTGGGATCGAACCCGAGTCCCTGGTGCTGTGAAGCATGGCAGGACATGGAGAGAAATGTTGGTTTCAGACTACCCCAGAAATTCAAGCCACGAAGACCAATACCTCCAGCACTGACAGTGGTCAGAGTCCACTCAGTCACGGATCAGGATAGCTTTCAGGAGATTGTGTCTCAAGAAATAATGACCACCATACGCTTTAAATAGCCAAAGAGATAAATCAGTCTTTCTCAAGACACTGGGTGCGTACAGACTTGGCTAGCTGGGGAAAGTAAATGACTTTCTACCTGGAAGAAAATTAAAATTTCAGTGCAATTCGATTTCTTGCTTGATTTGAATTCAATTTATTTATTGTCATGTGCATCTTGTTACAAAACACAGTGAAAGGTGCCGTATAGTGTCGCTGCACCATCTTAAAACACAGAAAAATAAACCAAAACAGAAAATGTAAAGGCAGAAATGTAAAGAAATAGAATTTTCCGACTTTACAGAACCTTCTTGTTCAGTGCTCAGCCACGGGCCATGGGCCTGGTGACCAGGCCCGAGCCCTGTCCGCAGCACCGCCAACACTGGAACAAGAGTGGCCTTTCTTTGGCGCCATCTTGCCTCCACTGACACCCCCCCCTCGCCACTATCAGTCCTCTCTGGCACCTCGCCAATGCAGGTCCCACCGCCGCGTCTCATGCCAGGCCCAAACTCACCTCCACCACCGCCCCCATGAATCTGCGCCAGAAGCAGACGCCGTCAAGAACCCAGACGTACCACCACCGCAGCAGGCCCCAGTCGCACTAGGACTGCCTCAGCAACGCAGACGCCGCCAGGAACACAAACTGTCTCCCCGCTGTCACCGCCGCGAGTCTGCACCGCTGGGCCCTACCTGAGTCTGTGCTGCTGGGCCTAATCAGGTCAGTAATGCTGGGCCTATCCAA